CGGAAATGACCGATAAATAATGTTTACATCCCAGTAACTCTATACGAGTAAAGTCTGTAATGAAATAATATATAATAATATAAAAGTCAAACGAGGCATGAGAACAAAATTTACTTGTACACTTTATGTGCGGTCGATTGACACGAAGAGAACGGAAAATGTTTCGATGGAAAAGCATAACGTTACACGTAAACATCAGAACCATAACACGGATATTATATATTATAAATATTGAGGCATTTACCGCGAAACACAATTTTCAAATTTCTGTAAATTAATATGTCCTGGAGGCAATAAAATTTATACTAATTTAACATATTCACCATTCGATTTGTATCGATTCCCCGAATTCAATTAGTTTTATATATTAGGATTAAATTTAATTATACTCGAACACAAGACTTGTGTAAAATATTATAATATAACGTAATAGTGTCTTGCAATAGTTCATGAAATACGTACAGACTGAAATTGCAGTTATTGTGGTTTACAATTATAGTATAATTTATTTGTATGTTTTTCGAATAAAAGTCATGTCGAATATTTTATTGGTTTTTCATTAGTATAGTTACACCTATAATGGCTTATAATACAATAGGTACTTTGCTAATAATAGTTCTCTGTGGTATTATAGTTTAGTGGCTTAGTTAAGGTAAACTATGTAAGCATATGACGTATCATACATGCAAATTTAATTGTATATTCACAATAGAGATTCTTATTAGCATTACACTATAATAACAATATTATCATTACACCAATGTCTGTAAATCAAATTAAAATAAAAAATATATCATTTAAATCATGTTATATGATTGTGTCACTATTATCTATTTCAAAATGACAGATTGCTGACTACTTTATCCGTCGTAAATACATAGCATAATGTTTTTATTTATTTATTAAAGTTAACAATGAATTCTATTTGTTGTGACTATTCAAATTTTAAATGTATTTCACATTCGATATCGTTGTAATGTCACGAGTAGGAACCCAGTTATAACTTCCAAGTTAAATAATAAATCAAACATCCTAATCTAAAAATACGACTGTCTGAGTGATGAATATATTATTTTAATAATGCAAATGCTTCAGAATATAATATATAGTGCTCCGAATTATACTACTACAGTATTTTTTTTTTCGAGTTCGAAATCTCTGTCAAACTGACAGCGCAGTGGCAGCACTCGTACAATACGATGGCAGACAACGTTGTTTATGGAATATAATAAAAACGGTACCAAAAGTGAATATTTCTAGAGATTTAAAGGTCAAATAGATTTGACGAGAGAGGGATAAAGTGTGTAGAAATGCGAGGGTCCACCCACCTGCCACCACTCGAACCTACTAACAGCCCCCGCCAGCTCCATCACCACCACCATCACCACTGCCCCGGTTAAATCCTTTGTGGACGCCTTACGGTATCTTATTTACATAATAATTCTCGAGGACGGGTATATAACGACGGAGTGGAAGAATGGCATCAGTCATCAGCGCAGGAGCAGCAGCAGCTCGCCGCTACGCAGCAACTGTGTTTATATGGTCTGATACAACAAGCACCGGTGTGTCATCTGCAGCCAGCGAATCGGGAAAATTGACGTTAAGCAGCTTATGTGTAGATTCACATCGTCGTCTGCGGTGTGCCGTTTGTTCCGACGAGCGACCAGCGCTGTAGGCCGGCTAAGACGACCGAAGTACGGTGCAGACGACCATGAGGTCTAATGACTTCACCGCGAGATTTACAACAGATTTCCGGGGTTGCCGGCGACGTGCACACAATGTATAATATTATAACACTTGGGCTGAAAAACATTAAATAAATAATGCAAACCGGAGTGGCAAAAAACATCGAATAAAACCTGTTCGGTTCTTTTATGGACGGCGTATACATAATGTGTAAAAATGGCTTGGGCACGAGAAAAAGCCGTCAACGGTCCAGGCACAGAGAGTATATACACCGAGCATACACCCGCCGCAAACCCACATTACACTCTGCACCACTTGTCGGCGATTCCATTAAAACGTCAGCTTCCGTGTGAAACAATGACGCAGCATAATATGAAATTCATCATCTAATGTGATATGTCATTGTTGCTAACGCTCCTACTCATCCACCCCTCCAACCCCCATAAATAAAAACAGCGAAAGCGCGAGGGGCAGTGGTTAAGCTCGGTGATGGTGACGAGAAAAACTCTAAAAATCCATTATTATTATTATTATTATTACTATTATTATTATAAGAGAGCCTTATAACACCGTTTGCCACTTTTATACCATCTCCCATCACCGTCCCCGGAATGATCGGTTTAATGATTTATTCTTTTTAGCACACTGTGACATTCTCATCGAATATATCATATTATATTGTATTCATACACATAGGTGTATGCAATATTTGTGTGTGTGTGTGGGTGGTTGTTTTTTAGAAACAAAACAACGACGTGGTTTTTAACCCACAATAACGGTCACTAATGTTATTTGTGCACCGGATCATCTGAAAACAATGTCCTTGGTGTTATTGTAGCAGGGAATACCATATTTTTTTATTATTTCTCTCTCTATCTTGTTTTTGACTTATCGACGTCAATTCGATTCATAATTCAAATTGTTCTCAAACGATTAGGATTATTAGGACCAGCCACTTTACTTTGTTAACGTCTGTTAAACCGGGTTGTAAAACGTTTTCAAACTGTACACAAACAAATGTATTACTTATAAACGGATTACTACACCATTGAACGCAACAAACAGATTGTGCTCTAAGATTAAAGTAGGTATATATATATAAAAGATGTTTATCAGAAGAAAAACAAAAGATGTTGTTATATACTCGCATATTAAGACCTCGATGTCAAGCATTGCAGCAATTGTATCTGAAACTCTGACACCAATACGTTTCTTATTTGAATGAAAATAATAATAATAATAATATAATTTTAAAATTATTGTCAAGAACCACTATGAATTCGTAAAAATAAGATTAACTTTAGTGTACACAAAAAATATACTTTAAATATCCCAGCATTTATCACGAATTTTAATTGATAACAATATTGTATATACACTGATTGATCTCGGTATTTTTAATAAATAAAGAATTATTCATTAAACAAGATGTTGGAAATAATTATTATGTACGGAGTAACGGTATATTTCTACCGAATAATTTCATGATTCGCACATGTAACCTGATACTTATTTGTAGGTACCTCTGAGCACCAGGTTCGGTTAGTAAGTTTCCGTTAAATCTCCGATTACCTATAGACTTTTCATTTTCCAAGCTCCCTGGAGGGTTTTGCATACACCAAGTAATATACTTTTAAATTCAATGACAAAGGTCCAAGAACCTTATAATTTAACGCATAACTACGGTATCGGGCATAAAGAAAATAATTCAAAATCGTTTGGGACGTTATTGGACGACACCGATGACTATTGTCACTATAATAACAGACAGACAGCTGAATTCAATACTTCGCGTTTTCGCGTGTTTACACGTGGTTACATTCAATGATTGATAACGGTTTACCGGACTACAGGAGTGTCAGTACAATAGAGTGACTCGTACGAATGGTGAAGAATTGCACGAAAAATTGAAATACAATGAATCCAGTACAACAGTTCGTAGTAAGTTGGTATTCGATATTAAGAATAATAATGGAACATATTAATTTGTCAATTATATATTATGAGCTACACTTTGAATCTATATTTATAATAGTTATAAACGTATATTTCTATTATTTTAAATTATACATTATTACTATAACTTTACTTTTTATGTTCAAAACTAAATAAATACGGCTTGAATAATTTTTTTTTATAGACATCATATTTCTCTTTCAAAATATAAAATGAATTATTCGTTCCTTAATATTTTAATAATATGAACTATGCAATAAACTCTTATCGAACATTAAATAAAGCTAGTAAAAGACGTATTATACCTTATAGGTTATATGTAATACTATCTATCGCAATTATATTGTCACAGATTGTCGTTGAATTTAAAGATTGGAAAAACAATAACTGTTTCAAACATTATAGAAACGTTATTTATATGCCTAACAATAATGTGTCATGTTATTTCATCAATCTCCGAATAATTATATTTAAACATGGTGTCCATTTTAAATGAACAACTTTTAATTAATTTCAAAAATGATTAACAATTTTCCAGAAAGATTGAATTGTTGTTTAAGTATCAGCAGCTATATTCAATTAATTCTTCGTGCATTTTAACTATTACTTATAATTTGTACCCAACAAATGTAAAATAAGCTGTTTAAGACACTGATGGGTTAAGTGGGTGAAAGATGCATTAACCTCATTGAATTTGAACTAAGTTGTTTAAACATATAGAAATCAATAATTACGCTTTAGTCATGATTCATATAAAGTAAAAGTAAAATTCTGGAATGGGTCGTCTTCGAAGAATTACATGAAACCGTACGTGGGTTTAACCCCTGGAGCAATATTTTTGGACTGTTTTTCTAATCTACTAGCATCATTTCACGTCGATTGAATACAAGTAGTATGAAATATCACGAATAAATATTACATGCAACCATAATCATCATCTTTTATAATTTGTAAAATTTTCTGAGTAGATATAGTAAACTAAGTTTATTATAGTTCACAATTTTTTGGAAAACATTTATTCTGATTTAAAATAAAAGAAAACACTCATAAAATGTAATACAAAATATAAATAAGTTATTGAAAATATGACGCTTAACTAAATTCGAAATGAATTGTTGAAGAAAAATATGGGCATGAACATGTATAAATCACCCTCTATATAATATAAAATTTAATTGACTATTTATAATAGCTATATGAATCTTAATATATATTATTTCTTATTAGATATAACTTCAGATTTGGATAAAAAAAATACCCTTTGAAATAAGCTGCATAATAATTCACTAATTTTCTAGTTTAGATACTTCATCAATTATATTATATATTTAATTTGTATAACATATAAAAGCACTTACCTCTTGAAAACTTGAGTTAAGATTTTTCTTTAAGTAGTCCGTTTGAGAATCTGCAATAATAAATTGTTTATTATTACTCTTAGTCTTATAGGTTTTATTTGTTTCACGCTTTCTAAACTATATATTTCCGTTAAATAATAAATTCGAAATGTCTACTTTTTTACCATAAATAAATCTGAGTATTTATATTTTTTTTTCTATGCTACTTATATTATACGAGTCATATGATTATATGTTTTTTGAAATATATTGTTTAAAGACATATTTTGTTCTAACGTCAAGATTCAATCTGTTTATAATAATAATAATGACACTTAAACTAAAAACTCTTTGGTGTACATTATAATAAATTATCAAATTGTAGTATGGAAAATCTTAATTGTATATTTTGTATATTTCATGGAATAAACACGTTGGGTCGATTAAAAATTTAATCGTTTTTGTGCTTAGCAAAAATAATCCTTGGAAATGAAAACCACTACACAATATAAACGGAGCTTAAGCGGCAGTTATTATATTAATAATATTTAGCAGTGGAAGTAGGCAGTCTTCGAATAAAAAAAATGATTTTGAATTTTACTTTCAATAGCTATAATACTATTACATTTTAGTTCCTGAGGGTAACCATCGCACGCCACGACACGATGCAATGTAATACCTCCAACCAAGCTCATATAATAATTTATTTATAATGCGAATAATTAGATATAATATTATTATATCGCTAATTCACTAACGCCGTCTTGGTGCTCGGCGCTGGGAGACATCATACACGCGCACGCGCACACACCCGTAATCAAATTTATAATAATATATATACCACTCAACGCTGTTGCTAATTTATCATCGTTCTTGAGGTGTTTGCTATTTTCGTAGATTGTAAGCGCGAAGAGTTTATGTATATACGTACCCAATTTCGCAACTACTATATGCGTAGCCACATATATAATATTATATTACGCGGTACATAACAATAATGTATATCCGGTGACAGGGACGTCGGCACCCCCTCGCAACTACCCAGGGAATCTTAGCTGCTATCAAGTCGTCCAACGCGAGTCTCCGGTGCGTGAAAACCGGTAAACGGATTACACCTCCGCATAAGCGCGTGAAAGTGTAAGAAGGGACATCGGGTGACAGACACGTAGGGTGCAGATATAGTGGTGAAGCCACTCCGGGGCTGCGGGTTCGAATAATATTTAGGGGAAAGCAGCAACCGATCGTTTAATAATACGCGATATATATATATATATACAGGATGATTCACCTCAGAACGCTCACCCGATTTTCTTCTTTAATCCGTCTAATCAATTCGCGAATTCTGATTTTTGGAATTTTAAATATATCTACCCACTTAAAAACCATATTGTTGTGTTCAATTTTTTTAGATTTTTTGTACTAGATACGTATTATTAAAGAGTGTTCTGCTGTGGTACAAACTTCTGTTTTCCAAATGCGAGTACCCACCATAATATGTACTTATTGTAAATTATTTAGAGGATGATTATAAAAACTGATGTACCTTATTCAAAATTCTAAGTAGTAGAACTAGTAGTAAATAGGTTACTCCGTTATTAAAATGCTTATACTGGGATAACAGTCCTCGAAAATGGTTTTATAAAAATACAAAACAAAACAGATATAATATCGAATCTACCATTCATCATACTTGACCATTTTATTTAAATTCTCTAAATAATTTATAATATAAGCTGGAGCCCTATTTTGAAAAACAGAAGTTTGTATCTCTATAGGAAACTCATTAAATGTTACGAAAAAATCTCGAGGATTTGAAAATATGGTAATTAAGTATACCATTACCAATTTTTAAGATTTGCAAAAATCAGATTTTAAATGACTGCATTATCGATGAAGAAAAGGGGAGTAAGCACTCGCTTAGTATATCACCCTGTACCTTGTATACATGCACATTATTAAACTGTGAGTTTGTATATAATATCTGAGTTCGACGACGCGCAACAGCAGCAAGGGTGTCGTTTTTGATCGAGGGTAATAATAATTAGGGAAGCAACTGGTGATGCGTGAAACAAGCGCTACATCCCGCTCCTCGAAATTATACGACCACAGCACCATCGTCGTCTCATCGTCATCACTGTTTCTGATCAACGTTATACCCGTTAAAATGGTTTATAATAATATATGAGTAATAATAAAAAATCGGCGATGGCAATCAATGACGACTCTATGACGGTATTTTAAAGTTTCATCTCTTCACGTAGGCCATCTTAGAAGTATGTTCACCTAAGTATTAAAGTAATCGAAGCAGATATCTTCTGGTTGTACGCACAAATTGTATTGAATATGAAATTGATCGGAAAGATTATAGGTGTTAGTTGATCGTAGTTTGCTCGGGTCTTCGAGCATCTGTATGACTGTATGTATACCACATGTATGGTCTCGTTCCATACCAAACAAAATATTTTTTTATTGCAATACGACGAACAGGAAATAGGAACCTAAACCGTAATTACGATGAAAATATATTCTTTGCATATGGTTTGAAAAAAAAACCAATCGATTTGTACTTACTGAAGAGAATAATCATCTAGATATTAAGTAATTCAACTAAAAATAATAATTTTTATTAAATTATTTAATATCATCAATATTGATGATTTTTTCTACATATCATTTTGCATTTATGCGTTTAAAGTCGTAATAATTTTTATTAGTTCTGCTGTTATATTACGCGACCCACGAAGACTATTATTTAATTAATTAGAACACTGGAGTGCACCTATTTTTGATTAAATTGAAAATTAAACACCGAGACCTAAATCAAATGAATGGACTCCGAATATAAATTAATTTCATTACCTACTATAATAGAGTGTCTGGGTATATGCATATACACACATTATTTGTATATTATTCTTATTATACACACATTAATAATGTTTTCAATGAGTATTTATTTTAAGTTTATTATAAAACAATTGATTGTGTTTAACGATTATAAATATTTATCATTAAAAACAATCATTGAAACAGCATCTTTATAACTATACTAGTTTTCTCTATATTACTCAATAGTTAATATTCAAACATTTTTGAACTGGAATTTATGACCCAAAATCTCATTAGTAATAATATTATATTCAACTGAATCAAAAAATATTCAAATAAACCTAAAATAGTTTGCCTAATGTTTATCTGGGGTGGTATTCCCGAGTATAATTTTGACACATCATCAATATATTAGGTACCTATTAATAACCAAATCGTATGCTTTTGAAACTACCACAAATATATATAACTTTTTGTTTCAACTCAAAAAAATGACTCATTGTTACCGATTCCTACATCAACTTTTTTATATTACCTACTACGATATATTATTAAATCACGGTTCAGTGTAATATATTATATTCAGCCACAAATCAGAATTTTCATACGAAAAAATCGGTAAACAGTTAGTAACAGCTAGTGCAGTGGTATAAATATATTTTAATCAAGTGAGTGGTAACAATGATGGAGATTTTTGATGGCTGCAGTACCTGCAGGTAACGGAATAATAATATGATGTTATAAACTGACGATGCATGTTGGCGGTGGTGAAATGGTGTGTAAAATAATTCTGCGGTATATTATAACGATTGTGACCGATGGTGCCGGTAGTTCACTTAGTTGATTAAACGGATTCGCCTGCAGTACATCTGACTCTCTGTATTTCGAATTCACAGCAGTAACACGGGGCCAAAGTATTTTTCACTCGAATAGTTCGAGGTTTTCGGAATTCGACTTATTTGGAGACGACGGTTGAATTGAGGGGGAAAACGCTAGTATATATTTTAATTAGTCTTGTTCATACGATTTCGTGTTACCTAGGTACTGCATTATGACAACAAAGAGATTGAAATCAACCGGAAGGTGCTTAGGTGCGCGATAAACAGCTGCACATCTGCAATAGATCTAGGTGGAAGCTTCCTATACTTTGATGCCACTGGCATTAATAATAATAATAATAATACACGATGGACCTCGACGTTAGGCTGTGATCTTCTTAAGACAGCTCCGCCGAATTTAAGATTATAATATGAACCTCTTTTTTCTCGAATTAAATTTTTGCACGAACATACCTACCGTGCATTATATTATTATGTTTAACGGAGGATAATTGGCTATTGAAATTGAGTGAAGAATAGAACAAGAAAAAGTATAGTAAGTTGAGAGTTTCAAAAATAATAACGATGAAAAGCTGGGGATTATTATAATAATTAATGAGATTTATACATATTATTGTACCTATATGAATTTTGAGTGCCAAACTGAATTTTTATAGTTTTTTTTTTAGAAAGAAAGAAAGAAAGAGGAAGGTATTAGATTATATAATTAAATTAGTATAATGATATCTGGTTTATATAGCTTAAAATGTTATAATATGTATGTGTTTATATATTTTTTTTCACTTGAGATAAAAAATAAAAATAATTCAAATAAATAAATACAGTTTCAGAGTGTTTCAAGTGTTTGCATACAACACAATCGAGTCGTAATTTTATTAGCCTCTAATAAACTGACAATCATATGCAATCATTCTGAAGTTAGGATAATTATTAGTCAACAGTATAGAAATTGAGAACAATGTGTTTGTTAATTAATAATTAAGAGCTGAGTATAATATTAGGTAACGTGGAAAATAACTCAATTGTAAAATTGCACTGATAAATTATGAAGCTATTGTAGATTTTTTTTAATTATAAAGTATAACAAAACGAGTCTTTTTATATCCATTGTATCAAATACAGTCATTATTTGATTCAAATTCTATAGTTTTGCAGAAATACGTGATGATGATCCAAATAAGAAACAGCTATGCGCAAAAAGTAATATTAGGTAAGTACCTAAGCAAAGATCAAAAGTTAGAAAATGGTTTATATTTATTCTATATTACATCATGATCTTCTGATGAAGTTAATAAAATAAGTTTTTACATTTTTTCAACACCATACCGTATATTATAATAATAAGTATTAACTTCAAATGTTGTACTTCAAATTTGATAGTAGATACTCAAATCGAAAATTAC